ATATACTAATAAAACATGGCTTTGGAAACAGCTATAAATTAAATTTAGGTATGATTGGATACAACAAGAATTAAGACTTTTCAAATCACAGTACAATAAATAAAGTGGTTTGAGCAGTAAAGTAAGGTTTTGTTGGAAAGTTTCTACTCAGAACTCCTGTAACATTGACTAATGGCATTCAATGGGGAGTTCTGAAGACTTGGGAACTTCTTATGATTTCTTTAAAAATTATTTTCTTTCATGAACAAAAGTTACAGAAGTTAACATTTTCCTTATCTGAAAATGCATTTATGATAGATACTCACCTCCACATAAAGAATAGCTAAATCCTTTGCACATCTGCTTATGAGATTTTCATGTCACTATCTTTGAACTAACTCCCACCTAAAAATCATGTTCAATGTGAACTGTACTAGTATATGATGACATCATCATGCAATGATAGCCCTCCACCTATATGAGGGCCACACAACTTTCTTATACTCAAAATAACTTCATTCATTCAATGATGAGGCAAGAAGAAAGTACACCAGATATTGGGAGGATGGTTGGGAAAGTATGCAGAGGTATCTATCAGAAATACATTTTTAGGTAGGGAAAACTTTAACTTCTGAGACAATACGTACTTATGCACAAAAAATAGGTAGAACCTCGCAAAGAAATAGTGGAGGGGCTAGTGCAAACATTAATCCTAGATGAGCTTCTCTTCACAACCAGGTGTACTCTTCCCCCAAAAAAGAAACAGAGGGGAAGGCAAAATAACACCAAGTGTTGCAGGGCTGGGTGCAATTTTATCATGACCAATTGAGCTCTCAAACACAAGTAGTCAGTGAGCCAAGAAGTGTAGTGTGGTTAGGACATGATCAGACCATACAATGTCTCATCTTGACTCAACTTGCCAGACAAAAGACAGGAGTGACAAACCCTTCCCTCTGCAGAAAGGGCACACTAGCTGTTTGAAGGCTGCCCTGCATTATATAGACAGTGCCACCACCACCATCCTACTTCCAATTTTATTGTGCTGTACACAATCAGTGAGGAACTCTCCAAGGTCCACCATTCCAACAGCTAGGAGCTGGTAAGGGGCAAAGGTCTCCTGTTTTCCACTTGAAGAGGGGGGGGGGGAATTCATGTTGGAGAAACTTGGAGAAGTGCCTGGATTTCCACTGAACACCAGTCAGAAAGGTCTTTTCCAGGAGACAGTGCAATATGTGACCACAAAACCCTATTTTTAAAAGCCTGCAAGTGCGAGCCGAAGAATAGGACAGTAACTTCCCTGGTGCCGGATTTTTCCATGATAGTCTATGGAATGATACAGTCTGGATTTGGCAACTGAATAATTTTAATACCACAAGGATGCCTATACTAGTCGTACAGAACAACCCTACCTCAACAGTGGGCAATGATAAAGTTAGGGTGGATGAGTTGAGCACTTTATGTTAACCATGGCCTGAGGATTTTGGAAAATAATAATATCCTGGAAGGTAGCACTAGCCACTTGGTGGAATCCTATATAAGGACAAAGAAAATGTACTTACCCTTCTCAAAGACAGTATCTAGTTTTATTGAAAAACAGAGATTGGAGGGAGTCAAAATCCCCTAGAAGACAAAACAATTAGATAACAAAGATAATGGGAGATGAATGTGTCTGGATTGATCCACATGCCAGTCAAAATTAGATGCAAGAGAGTGAGACAGTAGATGAATCTAATGTGACAAAATGTGAAAAGATTACCTTCTTGAGCAGCCTAAGTCTTAGCAAGAAAGGCCTAGTCTGGACAGAGTAAGTAAGTAAATACAGTGAAAGAGAGTGCAGGAACCATCAATGTCACATACATCCAAATGATGATAACCACAGATGAGAAGAAGAAGAAAACATATCTTCAGAGAAAGAAGGTATAATGAACATGCAACAAACAGCTCAAATGGAGCACATGGAAGAATGTATAAAACCACGTCAAGGTCCCAGTCAGTCATGGGAGTAGGTCGAGTTGGTCAGTGAAAAAGGAAAGATCAGAACAAAGTGGAGATGATAGGATAAACCTGACAGTAATGGTAAAGGCAAATTGTAGTTGATAAAGGCACCCAAGAACCGGCAGGAATGGAAATCAACAATCCATGGTTGAACAATCATGTGAAAAGAGCCGAAAAGTGAAACACAGTATGACAGCCTGGAAGAAAAAGGCTGATGGATCAACATTGAAAATCTTGGCACTTCTGTTGATAGGCAGACAGAGATGAAGGATGATAGGAATGGGATAAGTAAAAGGCTGCACAGATGGAGAGTCCAGCATTGCAGGCAATGGGCTGGACAAATCCTACATGTGAAGTTGAAGTGACAACACCGCTAGGTGAAAGACATGGTTGGAGAAAGAGTGTGGGAATGAGGCAGAGAAAGAGGGTACCTGATCATCAGTTGATGAAGTAAAGGAAATTGGGGTTGTGCCAGCCAAACAGGCACCACAAACAGGATCTGAAAAGGAATACTGCATATCAAAACAAGGAGACAAGAGAAATAGGCATACAGAAAAAGGTAAGACCAGCCCGAACTGAGAACATCGACCATCAGAGCCAAAGGATAAAGAACTAGGGACCCAAAGAGGAAAAGTTTGGTGTTGAGAATAGCAAAGGCACTGATGAGAGGTTTGCCCAACTGAAATTGAACCCAATGAAAAACCTGAGGAAGATGAGGCTACTCCATAATTAGAAACCTGTCTGGCTGAGAGAGGTGATCAACCATCAAGTTCAGACTTATGGAACATGAAAAGCTGTGAGATGAACCCAATGAGAATAAGTATAAAATACCATGTCTATTTCATGTAAACAGAGTCCTAGAACAGGTACCCTCTGATAGTTGATATACGAAAATATTGTGGAATTTTCAAAGCAGCCAATCCAACAGTAGAGGGAGGAAACAGGATAAGCTTTATTGGATGGTAATAAGTTCAAGAATGTTGATGTGCAATGAACAATCCTCTGGAGCCCACATGTCCACATTCATGTAGTCATTTGGAGATACCTTCCCAACCCTGACAGTGAGGCATTGAGGAAGAAATAGAAACTCAGTCAGGGTGGCAAGGAGGATACCTACCATATAGTTGGCACATTTGAGCTGCCAAGATAAAACCTTGAGAAAAGGAGAATGGAAGCCCCAAACTGAGGACAACAGATCTTGAGAAAGATTCCACTGGTCTGACAATTTCCACTGGAAGAGGATATGTATATGCAGCCTAAATGAACGAGTAGTTCAAAGGAAGCCAGAGCTCTTAAAAGAAAAATAACCTCATTTACAGGGTGTAAAAGAAAAGCACAAACCTTAGTGACAAAACATTCTATTGCTCTTAAACAAAGTGGTGAAGGCTGAGCTCAAGTGGGATGGGAGTTGAAAACACACGTAGATGTACAAAAAATAGAGCAGTCATAGGAAAAGGTTTGGAAAGCTTGACAAGCTAGCCTAGCCAAGCAGCCTCCTGCAAAATAATGAAGATGTGAGAGAAGTTCTCTTGAGAAAGGGTGAGGAGAGATCAAACATCCATGTAATAATGAAACCTCCGCCCCAGTCTGTGAACAAGATATGCGAATGCCCCCATGACTCAATTAAGGAGATAAAGGGCAGATACAATGCCAAGAAGAAGAACACAGTACTGAAAAATCCAATCCGATGGACAAAACAAAGAAAATGTCTGGAGTACAGTGCATTCAGAATATGTAAGATGGTGTCTAAAAGATGATCTTGATCATCTACAGTCCAGGTGAAAAGAACCACCAGTAAGAAAAGAAACCCTCCATACAGAGCTGAGAGACAATACAAAACTAGCTGAGAGAGGATAGGTCGATACTAGTTTCTAGCTTTCTTGAAAAACCACAAAAATATGAGAGGAATAACCAGGTGTGGGCTAAACACCCTCTCATTGGCATTCTTGGCTAAGAGATCTGAGAGTACATACTCAAGACAATGAAGAAAAGGGGGAACAGAAGGAGGAAGAAAGGATATGGGTAGGTGGTAAAGAGAGGTGGAGATTTAACTCGTGTGTAAAAACCTGAATAACCTATCTATCAGATGAAAACAGAGACAATGAGTCACCAGTAACCACTAGACGCAGGTCTCTTGTTAGAAACATCCACACTACCAAGGAATGAACTGGAAGTTATCATCATTTAAAATATTATAATGTTGGGTAATCATCAAATTGTTTTTTTTTTTAGAAACCATGATGGTTATATGAAACACAAACTCTAAACAAAGTAAACTTGAACAAAATTAATTCAGTTGTAAACACTCCCAAACTTCAAGTAACTGATTAAAATTTTTAGAACATATCCATTCTACACAACACTAAGGAAAATAATGAAGTTAATTCAAACAAAATTACTTAGGGGGAGCTACTGTGCAAGGAGGTTGTGTTGCCGTTCTGTTTGTGGAGGGCTATTTTCACAGGAAGATGACATCATGCACTAACACAGTTCATGTTAAACACATTTTTTTAGGTGAGAGGTAACTCATGGCTAGTGACATTCAAATCTCATAAGCAGGTGAGGTATAAACTTGGAAACCATATTTAGAAACAAAATTTCAATCAATATACAAACAATTTGAAGCTTTCTTGTTTTCAACTCTTGCTTCAGAGTACATACAATCACTGTTTTCGAAAAATTTGATTTTTCTTTTGTCTTTCCATCAAAGTAAAAATAGTGTTTCCAAACACTTTAATCAACTGAAAGTATTATAGGCACACTTCTTTCAAACCTAAGATCTGATAAGCCTATTCACACAAACACAAAAAATCCATATACTAGATATATTTCTTCACACCTAAAGGGAAAATGAATTCAGATCACATTCTATATTATTCATCACTAATTTTTCAGCTACTTATATGCTGTTGATGTATCTCAATGCAGATTTCTTAAGCTTACCACAAACAATTTAATGTATAGCTTTTACTACTGCCTATTCAGTGTAATAATTCCATTAGTATTATTCACACATATACATGTACCTTTTTCACCTGTATGATGATCTTCATAAATCGTTCACTCAAGAAGAAAAGGTAGATTCCACCAAATATTATGATTGATTTCCACAAGTAATCATGTTCATTGTTTTCACCAAGCAAATTGAAAGCCTGTAACACAACACTAGTTTTGTTTTTCTTTGATAGTAAAAGTATTTTCAGAAGAGAAAAAAAAGTATATTTTTCACCAAAATTTTCTTCAGGAATAATAGGTTATTTTAATTTACATCTACAAACACAGAAATAATCTGTATATGTTACAATGTAATAGCATAACTTGTTAGTACTTAACAATCAAAAAAAGGTAAATGTAATTTTAGTTCGATCATTACTTGGTTTTCAGGAGTATATAAAACATTCTGTTACCTATTAGTGGTTATTTTTTAGAATTTATCATGTATGTAAATATTGCATAATAATACCTGAAAAAATAGATGCTCTTTCAAACGAAATAAAAAGTAAAATTTATAAAAATCTGTTTTAGAATACAAATAACATTAATCTGTTACTAAACGGGGAATGTTTGGAATGCTCCGTGACTAACTGTATCATAGGTTGAAGACTGAGATGAACATTTAATAATATCAATAACATACAAATGACTATCAAATATTTCTTAATAATTTATGAAAATATAAAAGGATTAAATGATTAACATTTTTGATCTCTTTCTTTTCACTGCTTGGTCCTCTATTCTTTTAAGGTAAATTAAAGAATGAGTAGCATTACTAACTCATCCTGTACCAGACAGATCATAAAATGAGTCTACTAAAGGCATGCCATCTACACAAAGTACTGGTATTTCAATTATATCTAACAAAGCATGAAAAATGTCAACTTACAAAATTGATATTATCTTACACTCTTCAGTTGAGAAAATTATCAGTGATTCTAATAGTTCTAGTGCATGAAAAATGTTCACTTGAAACATGGATAACTGAGATGTGTCACTTAAGGAAATTCTTATTAATTTTATAACTAACAGGGCTTTAAGAGTGTCCACTTGCAATGCTGAAAGCATGAAAGCATCTAACACAATGTTTGATCAAAAATTGACAAGAAGTATGTAACATAATAAATCAATACAAAGCAAACTAAGAACCATTAATAACTAGAATGCACTGAATCATCAGTTGGGTACCCTTACTTTTAACAATATTCCTGGACATAATATCAGTAATATACCATAAGATTTGACCAGCTTAGGAGATTTACATTAGTCTTAAATCAATACATTAAGCTAACAATACAAAACAATCTTCATAAGTAGCACAATTAATTCTAAAAAATATTCAAATTAATTTTCAACATTATAATCAATGAGATTAATTTAACAAAATTAATTTTAAAGAAAAATGGAGAATGGTATTATTTGAAAAGTATAAAAAATTGTTTCATCTTTAGATTCAAACAGTTTACAAATGGTGAATATCCAAAAACAAAAAATGATCATTTAAAGATACATAAACAAGTTAAAAATAATAAGTAAAAGAACACCAACTGTCTATATGAATAATTATAAAAACGTTCTGTCACCAATTCCTAAAAACTGAAATTCCAGTATAATCAGATCTCTATAAAATCATCTCAAAAAACAAAAACTGACTTATTCATTCTGGTTTACAACACATTACTGTTTATCTGTACACTCAGTAATAAAGAGGGAAAAAAAATATTTGTGTACATCAAAAGTAACAAAAATAATAAGTTTTACAACTACATAAGCAAAGTAATGCACAAACCAACTTACTTACTTTGAGTAGCATGTTACTTGAGAAGTTGATGGTATATTAATGTCACTTGGGAGAACTACATTAATTCTATATCCAACAGAGTATGCAAAATTTCCACTTGTAGAGTTAATTAATACCTGAGAATAGCTAACAAAACCCAAAGAAAGTGCACTTACCTGAGGAATCAAGTGGAAGACAGCACTTCCCAGCAAACTACCCACGGCTAATCCTTCAAACAACATCAACAATGTTTGGTATACATTCTTGTTCAGTAATGGCAGCAAAATAACACCAACCAAAGAGCAACAACTAATGAGGGTAACGAAAAGGATTCCAAATCCCCACACTAGGATCAGAGAGAAATGCTTCACTTTCATATCAACTCCAAGCATAAAAAAAATTAATGAACTTGACTGGCTATAAACACTTTAAAGTAAAAAATTACAAAGCTAATGAAAGAAAGCAATTTTTTTCCTTCTTTAAGTGTATAATCCATTTATAAATGCAAACTGTTAGGACATTTCAATAACTCCAATGAGCAGAATAATTAATCCATAACTGCAAAATACCAGAACAATTTAATATTTAAAATATGCTGAAACAGTTAATATATTGTTGCGTCAGCGAGGTCACATGACTAGTATCACGCCACTCCTTCTCTCGAACCTTCGGGAATTGTCGAGAGATTACTAGATATAGGGTAGTCTGGTATATATAAGATGATGATAACGTGACGGGACAATGTGTAAGTAGTGAGTAATTGAACTGCAGTCAGATAGTATTGTTGCAGTTGAGCACGTTCGTTGTTATAGAGCAACTGTTGAAAATAAGTGTATTGTAAAGTTGTATTTGAAAAGAATAAACCAGTTTTATTAAGTAAGGAGTTGTGTCGCTAAAGTTTCGTCGGAACGAAGTTACGGGAAATTAAGTAACAAACGGAGACATAACAATATTATCCTTTGCTTGAAGCTTGGATGTTTAGAAAGTTAAATGATTTATGAAAAATCTAAAAATAATAAACCAACATGTTATGTCAAAATAACACATGATTAATATCAATTATTCTGTTGACACATCCACATCTGATTCAAACAAGTACTAAAGATCTAAAACTATGGAGAAAAACAAATACTACTTTTTGAGTGAAACATACAAAATGAAAGGGCCATCAGGTGTTTTCATTTTCTCAATATATTTGCAAATACTGAGGTTTAAGAGACTTTATAAATGTCTTTTGTTTTGTTTTTTTTGACTATATAAACACCATTACAAAACAGCGAGGTGTTCAAACCTTTTCAGTCTAGGATTCCCTTTTGCAAATAATCAACACCCCCCACTTGTCAGGTAACTAAGAATCAACATAGAATAACTGCAGTTCTAGAATAAAATGCTAGTACAACAATGCCATTTATCACTTATTTTGAGTTGTTCCATTATTCTTAAACATTCAATCATAAAACGTTTATAATGCTTACAAATAGGGCTAGTAATACCTTAATGCTTAGCTTGCCTAGACTATGAATCTGAGGGTTCTTGGTTTGCATCTCATTGCCACTAAATATGCATTATACTTTGGAGCTGTGATTGTACTAGAAGACTGATTGTTAAATTAAAATTCCACTACCTGGTCAGACAAAAATAGCCCAAGTTTTGGGTCTTGTTGACCAGCTGCCATCTCTCTAGTTTACCAGTTTGAAATCAGGGATGTCTATGTGTAGCTTTGTTAAAAAAACTGAAACAATCTAAAAAAAATATATTTTACTGTACCACAGTCAGACAGCAAAAAAGAGTGAGAATATGAAGCAACTCACTTTGAATAAATTAGTATTTACAAAAAAATAGAAATTTGTTGCATCCTTTGTGACCTACTTTGGAGGTTTCAGTGGCTCACTATTTTAGAGCTCCTGCTGGAAAACAAGTTCAAGGTGCTGAATATTTTAACCCTCAAATTACATTTTTTCATACAGTTCACTAAAGGTAGGATCCATTTGTTGCATCATATCAAGTAATTTTATGCTTTTGCCTGTTATTCAAATCCAAGACTCAGACATAAGTCACTTATTTCCTGGCTTTGATTTAACAGTGCCCCAAGTCCCCAGTTGGTGTCTTGAAAAATCAGAACAAAAATCATGATCAATATCATACAGAAGTGCCAAAAATTTGTGTGCCTATGGTCTTGAACTCTAAATCTTTTAAACACCTAGCAATGCCTCTGCTTTGACTCAGACTTGAGAATCACTGTTCTCTGAAGAAATTTTCAGAAGTACTGCTTGTGTGGGTCAGCTATACATATAAGACATATGTTTTGTTAAAGATATTACATTCTGACCTTCAAAATTGCTCATTTGACTATTTATATCAACAGTAGCGTGTCAGCTCAGCATTTATGACCATAATGCAAGCACTGGTGGGTTGACATAATGTCTTTATAATGATTAAAATGTTTTAATGTACATGTACTGGACCTCTTGTCTTCACTTCATGATTCTTCCTATGGCAACAACAGCAATTTCTATATTTTGTATGGATTTGAAAATTTATTTGCTTTGTGGTTTCCACTTATGTTTTTGTATAAATTATGTTATTTTAAAAAGCCTAATACTATGTTGGGCCCTCTCTCTTGGGCTATGTTTAACCAAGATAGAAGTTTCAAATTCCTTTATGCACATTTTAATTTGTCCAACATCCTCTCATTCCTCTAGTTTGCCATCAATGATCCATGGGTATCCGCAAGGGGTGGCAAGAGGGGGCACTTGCCTTCACATGGAAAATGAGAAACTATTTTTTCTTTATTCGTTCAGCATATGTATATGGATTTTTTATTCAATTCACAATTTCCCACTACTTTGCCCCCCACCCCATGGAAAATATTTTGCAGATGGCCATGCAATGATCAAGTCTCTCCAGTTCAGTGCCCTTCCCTTCAGCTTAGCTATGGCCCCTTATGTTTTCAGCTGGATCATGTGTTCCTTTGCTCAGTACATGCATCCTATGGGTCTTCATTTCCATTATTATAAGTTGTCTGGCTTCACCTGTTGATTTTTACCTCCACTCTTATTTTGGAGGCCTCTCACCTGGGCTGGTTGGTCTAGCTTTCCAAATCCATTTTGACTCACTCATTTTCTTGTCCACTTAAGGGTTTTTTAAATTGTACAGAAGGGGTTTAATCCTCTCCCACACATATTCATGCCATGGAGATTTTGACACACAAGACACTTTTCTCTTAAATTTTGGATTCTTGTTTCTCTAGGAGCCCCGATTTCTCTCGGTCATACACGTTTACTTCAATGGTTCTGGTAGATCATTGGAAGATGTCTTGCATTCCCTTATCCACTCTTCTGTCTTTACCTTCCTGTATACATCACCCTTTGTGGTGGGTCAATCGCTTAAACCCATCCCAGGATATACCACTCCCTCAACATGGCCCAACTTATATCTTTCCAGTGATGCTTCTCTTTCTGGTTGGGGGTTGATGGTTCTCATCACAACTACTCCCTTCAGAGTCTGGATTCCAGAGAAGAATTATCTGCATATCAACTGACTACAAAATAACTGACCTGGTTTTAACAACAGTGACTTATAAAGAAAGATGTAAGCATTCCAGGTAGAAAGCTGGATAATATTTTTTTATATAAATTGAAAATACTTGATGATATTACATTACTATTTCTATGTCTTTAAGAGTACCTATCATACCCAAAACCAACTACAGGCAGTGAGTGGTAATTGGATCTCGGATGTTGTGAGTTCTAGTAACCCTTATATATCTGTAATTTATTTTCTAGTTTAGTATCTGTTGTTTTCATTATGTCTGATACTTGGAATATCCCCAATGCTCGTGTTATAACTGCAGACATTTTAATAGTTTTCTATAAATTTTATAATTTTATATTGTTTTATTCATTGCAGTTTTGCTGCCATGATCATGTATTTGTTGGCAGATATATCTATAATAAAAAATGTTGAATTTTTATATAATTATCTTCTCGAGGCTGTGCAGATCTGGGTAATTAAATGCCTTGATGTAATACAGTTAGTAGTAAAATATAAACAAGTGGCTATAACAGATAATGCCATAAATGTTCCTTGTTTAATTTTTAAAAAATTATTGTAAAATGTCAACTTGCAATGTCTAGTGATGAGTTTGTTTCAAAATTTTATGCAAAGCTATACAAGGACAATCTGTGCTTTGCTATCCCTAATTTTGAACTAATAAACTGGTAGTGAGGCAATTAGTCAGAAACATTCACTGCAAACTTGTGGGCAGCATTTTTCTGATCAAATACTGGGATTTTACTGTTTATCTTAGAGCACACCAACAGCTCCAGTGCTGAGCTTATTTTTGCTATAATGAGTCAAGAACCATAGACCTTTGGATTTTCAGTCTGAACATGCTAATCATAAGGCCATGTCTGGACCCTCGCAATAAAAACAAAATAAAGAATACTGTATGCATTGTATAAATATACAATACAAAGTATAAGCAATAATTTAGCTATAAGATAAATATGGATTTTTTTCCCCTCTTTCTGTCATAACAAAAGTATTTTCCTTTATATTGTCTTTACTGTGGTCAAGTACACAGATGCTAGTAACCTGCAACATGTGGTAAAATGTGCTCATTAAGTGTAGTGGAGGATAACATTCTTTGCACAGCTGTATTTGAAGCTTCAACTATTTCATGGAGGACCAGCCATAACATTTACACTCAGTGATGAGTCAGGCCTAGCATATATCATACATAATGGCTCAGACAACCTCTACACCATATAACAGAACAGTCATAGCAACTAGACAACTATGGTACATATATTAAGCATAATATATATATATATATATAATCCACGATAGGTCATTCATTATTTTGAGATATAAAAGAAGAAAGATATTTTTAATAGAACTACAGAATTGAATACCATAGCATACTGTAAAGATACAGTAACTCGAAATTCTATCAAAACATAAGCTTCCATATAATCATTTAGTTGTTTGTTTTATAGCACTTTACTTGTAACATGTTTATTTGTCATGGTATATACACCTTTCTCAAGCTGGTGAAAAACATGCTTATAATTAACTTATTTGGTATACCACATCATTATAGGCACTATCATATTTTTAACATTGCATTCTATATCTATTCCCTTAGCAATTTAAGAATTAAAAGGGTACATCATATCACATGTACATTAACCATATTCATGTGTTGTCAGTTTTAGTAGGCTTTCTTTAGTAATTGGCAAAGAACTTGAAAGGAACTTTTCTCACACTTAAATGAAAGCCAGAGTTCTAGATCAAAAGCAACACAGCAAACTACCTTATCTGAAGCATAAATATGTTTTCTTC